CGCGTCGCGTCCCTGAAAAAAAAAAAAAAAAAAAAAAAAAAAAAAAAATTAAATTATAGTATATCTTTCAACAGAACATTGATATAGGAACTTTTTTTTTTTTTTTTGGTACCAAGGATCTAACTTGGGACCTTCCACTTGCGAGGTGATGTAGGAATTTAAATAATTATAAAGCTCATAGAATAACAAACATACAAAATAGAAAGTAGTTTTAATATTATAATTAAGTAAAAATTGCAAAGTTTAAAGTCCAAAGAGGGTAAACAAAGCTATATGGTATTTGAGTGATATAAATATGAATTTTCTTTCTGTTCACTTTTTAAAATGTGTTCTTTAGTTATTTCTCCAATCATAAATGAGCCAAATAAAATAAAGGCAAGGAGTGTTCATTTTAATAAAATGGCACTACATGACTTTTATTTTTTAATAAAAAGGGCACTAGATTGAACATGAAAAGATTTTTATCAGTGTTATGGCTGTCTCAACCCTAAAACTGTCTTCCAGTAAACAGCACCAGGCACCCTACCTTATACTGCATCTCTTTCCCCAGTGCTGGGCATCAAATCCAGGGCCTTAAGTATGCTAAGCAAATATTCTACTTCTGAGCTCCATACCCAAGACCCCTTTATACCATATCTTCAGACTTCCCCCACATCCTAAAATATACTAAGCTCTCCCATGAATACAATGGAGCTTAGAAATGCTAGCATGATATACACCAAAAAACATGGGCTTTTTCCAAACTACAGAAAATTTGCTATTCCAGTAACATAATTCCTTGGGATGAACTCTAACACAAACTCCAAGCATGTACTACATTCCATCTCTAAAGCACAGTCCTAACTAGTTTCCTATTTCCTTAGCACAGCAGGATTATGTTTATGGAGAGTTAGCATGACACAAAAAGATAACTCAGGGGTTCCATATTCATTTCATTTCTTATACCAAGAGAAATCACAATGTAAACAGATAAATGGTGAAAACAAACTAGAGTTACCAGACATTCTGGTTCTGTTTGTTTAAAGTGAGAATGTTTGTTTAAAGATTATTAAATTTGCTAGTGGGATAAGGACTTGCAGCAGAAAACAGCTTCTCTGCACTGAGGACACACTGTAAGAACCTGTTTGAAGTGCCTCATGGGAGGAGAAACCTATCACTATACTCAATTCAAATGCCAATTAGTCATATAATCTTTACTATGAACACATAGCATTTTTATGCAATTTTAAGAAATTAATAAAGCCTCATCTGAAAGAAGATCACTGTTGAGTATACTGAGAACAGCTAAGCAGAACAGTGGGAAGAATGAAGCACCACCCTCTGCTAATAATGCCAACTACACTAGGGCATATGTGAAGAGGGATGGTTACAAAGAATAGAAGAGAGAACAGATAGTAAGTAATCTCCAGAATCAGAGCTGACCTGCCAACAGAACAGAAAATAAAAATTCAATGGGAGGGTTCTCTGTTGGTCACTCAAATAGTGTCAGGCTAGAGAAACAGTTTTCTTATTTGGGTTTTTCTTTAAAGGACTGACAAGCTGTCCTCCTGAGAATAATAATTTAAATAAAGATAAGGACTATCTTTAAAGAAACATGTAACTCTAAAGTCACAATTCTAAACCTAAAATCATAAATGTGTACTAAGAAGACAAATATGTACTTACACAATCATGAATGTGTACTAAGCAAATGGAGCTGGGCTGTGCTGGTACACACCTTTAATCCCAGCACTCTGGGAGGTTGAGGTACAAGGATTACCAGTGCCAGCCAGCCCAGGCAACCTGTTGACTTAATGAAACACTGTCTCAAAGGGAAAAAGAGGGAGGCTGGGGATGTCACTCAGTGCTAAGGCCTTTGGTTCACTCTCTAGCATTGGGAAAAAAAAGAAAAAGAGCATGTAAATGACAGACAACTGCACAGAGAGCAAAGAGAAGCACGAGGCAGAAACTCATAGGACACTCACAGTGGACAAAAAGCTTCAAACATGTTGAGTTGGAGTGGACAAGGCTTGGAGGGGTAAAAACAATGGAGTTGGGGCACCCAAAAAAGCACCTATGTGCTTGTGCATCAGTAAGAAGGCCAATGGGAGGTGTGGGATGTAATGAAGCAAACAAAGATGACAATGCAAAAAGACAGAAAGACCCGGTCAGGAACGGACATAAATTCCACACTATGCCTTTTCATTGTGCTATTCTTCCTGAATCAGAAAACCTAGCACAATTTTTTGTGGCAAAGTGAAACAGTCACACAGACACAGCAAAGTTTCAGGGGGAGATAAAGAAAGTGTGTTTAGGACACTTATAAATAATTGAGAAATAGCAAATAAAATGTGATGCTATCAAAAGCTAACAATACAAGACTTTCTGCAATCCTGTCAAGTACTGTACAAACTTACCCCAATGATACTCAGTCCCTTGAGGTAATCCTGACGAGGCTGGGCTTGAGGGACACACCCGGCCAGCACTACTTTCTTGTTTTCCTCTTGAGCTTTTCTAGGAAATTGAAGGGGGGGAGGGACAATATGAATTATTTGATCTTAAGCAGACCCTTGCAAAGTGCTGTTATGCATATGAGTTCTCCAAATAATAGGCCCAGCTAACATGAACCAGGATTTTCTTGCAACTGCTTAACAAAAGCATAAGACTTCTGCACTATATGTCCATTTATCACATTACTAAAGAACACAGTAGCAGTCCAATCTGACAAAGCCTTTCATTATCATCTCATTCCAAAACAATCATACAAAATTCCCAGGTATATGAATCATTCTTGAACACTACATTTTCCAGACAAGCAAACCCTTCAAATGAGTTCTTGATCTTAAATACTAATGAAAATATGCATAAAACTATATATACTTCCCTAGTTTTTTAACAATATAAAATATATTTTAAAAAATTCAAACAAGAGAACAAACAGAAAGCATAATATCTCATATCCTGGAAACAGCCACAATCCCCACCCATTCCTGCTGCATAGGACTTAGTTCTTGTTTACTTATGCTTCCTGCCAAACATCCCTCAGATACACAACATATACTCATAAGCAGACTGGCATGATACATGCACGCGTGTGTGTATATACAAACATACATACATACATACATACATATATATATATATATACACATATATATTTCATTTATGTGTACATTTGAACATTTAAGAGTATTCTGGAATATAGAAACCTAGATGTAAAATCTATGTTCAGTTGTATAATTATTTTCCTAGCATAAATTCTAAGTAGAAAAGTTGGTTGAAAGATATACATATCTGGCTATCTTTTAAGAATTTCTCTGCTGAAGAGGGAGGTGGAGTATGTTTCACGTGAAAATTATTCACTCAATCAGGCAAATGTGTATACAGCAAACAATGATTTCTGTGCTAGAAGACAGCACAAAGCATAGCTTTTAACTCTTTCTAGAAACTATTCAGATCCTTTGTGTATTTTTAAATTACATGTTCAAGTTCTCAATTCTTTTTCAAGCACAGGGGTTTTAACATGTTCTGATGCTTCATTTTCTTTTTTTTCCCGATTCCTCCCTAGTAGATTTTATGCACCAAACTGAGAGCCTTGCTGCCCCAGCAGTCTCTAGGTTTCCAAAGCCAAATGAGAACACTGAGATGTCTACAGCCCAGTTTCTGGACATGTGACTACACTACTGTGAAGTGGTTTCTGCACTCAGCCAACTGTATTGCCACCTTCAACTGTTTCAAAAACACACATTTAGAAGCAACAAAAAATTAGGTTTAAAGGGATCGGCTCTGTGATAAGCCTCATGAAAATATGGGAAGGATGAAGACAAGGATTTAATGAAGAAGACCACAAAATAACTACTTTCAGAGCAACATTAAATATTCTATTTCAGGAACTTACAGTACTTTGATATAATTTTCCCATTTAAGGCCATGAAAAATCTTGTTAATGAATAAAAATAATGTGACTTGGGGGGGGGGGTTGCCGGGGATCAAACTCAAACCCTTGCACTTACCAGGCAGGCAGGAAACCACTGAGCCAAATCCCCAGCCCTGGTTTTACTTTTTTATCAGTACTAAGCACATTACTGTACACCAATGCTTTTCTTATAGTAAATGTGAAATAAATGAAAAAAGCTTCCCATTTTTTTTAATATCTACAAGTTAACATTTTTTTATTTTTAAAGAAATATAGATGTAACACCTACAATCACTGCCAGGCATCCAAAAGAGATTATGCAATCACTAATAATTAAATCAAATAAAAAGCCTGCTTCCTATAAAATGAAGTAATTCAATTACTTAATTATTAAGCATATTTAAGTCATTATAGTAAGTGCTTAAGGAAAGAAAGTAATGAGGAAGACCAGTACCTTACACTGCACAAACTTAGGGTTCATAGCAGATCAGATGTGAAAGACAACAGACAGCATAGCATCAAGTAAAATACTTTTGATGACAGAGAGATGCACAGATAACAGGTGATGGGGGGGAAGAATGTTCTGGCAAAACAGACAGGAAATGGCTTCATAGAAAACATAGGGAGGATTTTTATCAGGAGATGGGACGAAGACAGGACATACAGGCAAAGAAAGCTCCAGGCAGTTACTACAGTTGGACAAAGACAAGAAGGTAAAAAGCAAGAAAGGGAGGTGGGGGGATAGGACACTGCTGAATACTAGACTGGGTCATGAGATAGTCCAGGCCTGATTTTAAAGGAGTAAGAAGAACACTAGAAAATTAAGAGGAAAGGTCCCAAATAGGGACCTGTGATTTAATATTTATTGAATATATTACTTCATGCTTTTAATGAATTTGGCTTTAAAATGGTAGGACAACCAGAACCATAATCTCAAGCAAAAATCATTGTCTACTTATAAAATCTCAGAGCCATACTTTTTATGTAACCAAAGCAGCGAAACATTTTTTTTCTTTTTTCTTTGGTACTGGGGATCAAACTCAGGACCTTATACTTGCGAGGCAAGAATGGCAACACTGAGCTAAATCCCCAGCCCACAGTAAAACTTTTAATAGAAATTCTCAGCATATTCCTATTCTAAGCATTCCTTCATGCATCTTGTATTTTTTTAAGTGAGCTTTGTTTAGGTTAATAAAAGGCCTGAATGTTTTCTCTTTAGAAATATATCCAGGGCTGCGGATTTAGCTCAGTGGTACCATGCCTGCCTCACAAACGCAAGGTCCTGAGTTTGATCCCTGGTACCAAAAAAAAAGAAATATATCCAGCACAGACATATTTTTAAAAGCTTTTATCCTTCAAACTATGAATGCTGATGAGACTAAAACCTTATGAAAGTTTAAAATAGTATAAATTAACATAACTTCTCCTCAGATTGTCCTGAAATGTTAATATTAAGATGAGAATGCAAAGTTAATATAGTGATTCATTTTCTTGAAACATACTTCTAAGTAAAGAGCAACATATATTAACTTGAGTAACATTAAAAAATACAAAGAATTCTTACTTTTCTTCAAAGCATAAAATGCAAGAAATAAGTGCTACAGAATCATGAAAAACTAATAATGAAATAATATTACTCTCTTACTTTACAGATAAGAGAACTGAGATTTGAAGTCCTGCAATGGCTGGGTATGGTGGTTTCATACCTAAAATCCCAGCTGCTCAAGAGCCTAAGACAGGAGAATGACTACATCAAAGCTAGCTTGGGCAACATAGCAAGACCTGTCTCAAAATAAAAAGAGTTGAAGATAGAACTAACTCAGTGGTAGAACACTTGCTAGCATGCACACATTGAGATCAATCCCCAGAATTGCCAAGAAAAAGAAAAAGGAAAAAGGGGGAAAAAAAAAAAAAAGATGTGAAGATCAAGGCTGAATTAGTGATAGAGTTGCAATAAATACCCAGGATCTTCTGGTTCTGTGTACAGCACACTGCACAACACGAATCACATTTGAGTTTTTGCTGTATAATAAACAGTGGCACAGACATTTCTCCACTGGAACACCACTGAAATTTACAGAGTAATAATATGTTGAATATCTTCCAGAAAGAAGCTAACTAGGTCAAAATAATAGTGTAATGGAGAGCAATAAATCCATGAGTATATAAAAAAATAGTTCTCTAAAAATAGCATGTAAGAAAGGATTGGTGATTCTTTTGCTATGTTCCTTACTCTTATTCCTCATACTTTTCTATAAATTTGTTTATATAAAATTAATGTCTACTTCTTTAACGCAAAATTTATCTCAAGAAAAAGTTTGAGTTTGTATCTGATTTTTAAATTTATAAATACGTATACACTCATCTACATGGTTCATACTTTACCTACATGGTTCTGTTGGCAGAATGTAGAAAGGCAGTCTCAGAGCTGCCTAGAGTTGGAAATAAAATTAAGATGATGGCTTTATCAATCTGAAAATATAGATATATTAATATCTACAACTTGGAATATACAGCAATTTTTAAATCCAAAGTAACTGGACTATAATCTCAAGATCAGAAGACTGAATGCTACTTTAACTGATGAAACTAAAATATAACTGTTCATTTTACACTCTTGAGAAAAAGTAAGTCATACCAAAGTGAGCAGTCTACAGTGTACCTAGTGAAGACAAATCAAAAGGGTAAAAATTTCTCAGTGTCTGTAACACAAGTCAGTAGAGTAGGCAGAGAAGTAGAAAAATAGTCTTCTACCATAATCTTAGGAAGCGGCAAAGTAAAACCAATCACGTTGTCAGGAATGATGGTGCACACTCAGAATCCCAGCTACTGAAGAATCACAAGTTTGATCCCAGCCTGGGTAACGTGGGAATTTAGAAAGATCACCTCAGAACAAAAAAATGTAAAAGGCTTGAGGATGTAACTCACTGTGAAGGCACTGAGTTCAATCCTCAGTACTGGAAAACAAAAGCTTATTCCCTGTTCAGCAGGAGTGTAGCTCAACTACAGAGCAAACACTTAGTATGCCCAGTACAAGTCCCTTGGTTTGACAAAATCCAATGTATATTATGATTTTTAAAAAATTTTAAAAACCCACATACTTATTTATTTAGGGTGGGTTGTTTTTTTTGTTTGTTTTTTTCCCTCTTTGGTACCAGGAATCAAACTCGGGACCTTGTGCTTGCAAGGCAAACAGTTGGCACCACTGAGCTAAATCCCAGCCCTTGTTTAGGTTTTTTATTTAATTGTTTGAAGCCTGTCTCCATGCCTTCCCAAAGTGAACTGCACACAACAGGCATTTTTGTGTGCCTTGGTTCACAGGGGCATCATCAGGTTTAGCCCATGCCTTGCACATTTTATTAGCAAAAAAGAATGAAGAGGGTACTAAAAATCCAACCACAGACATGAAGTGAAATGATTAATGGCAGAAAATTCAGAATCAGTGGAGCAGCAGGATAATGAAGTAATAATGAAGACAGACTGATGTCAGACTACCTGGGTTTTAAAACTGGCTCTGTCATTTGCTAACTTTGTAACTATAGGGGAATTACTAAAACTCTCCTTGCTTCAATGTCATCATCTGTAATAGAAGTTACAA